CAGCATGGAAGATCCCCATGACTTCGGGACCCTGCAGTCCCCTCAGCTCTGGCTCTGAGCAGCCCAAAGTGGAGGCAAGCTGTAGGTAAAAGGAGAACCCAACCCAACCCACCAGCAAACAAGAAGTTGGGTAAAAAGAGACCGAAGCCTGAGGAAATAAATGAAATCTCATCATTCATCCCCAGTGGTCAGTGGCACAGATAACATTTTTCAAAGTGTAATTGCAGTCAATTGTACTTTCCCCCCAGTGCCCGTCAGCTCATCCTAGCTGGCGTGATAAATGTTAGCTTTTAAGCAAGAACGGATTGATTATTAATAGCTTAGATACCAGTTACAGGAACTGCAATAAAACTAGATTTTAATTTCCCTCTCTATTAAGGAATCTCATGTTTCATTCAATGTAGAGAGAAAATAGGGGGTTTTGCAAAGATATCAGATTTACTGCCACTATAAAAGATCATTGATGCACTGAACTCTGCATTATATTTGACCAGATCTTCAACAAAGGGCAGCTTTGTGTCACTGAGCCTCCCCTCACCAGTGGGAAGGGGCTGGGAGGGGATGCTCTGACCTAAGGCACTAAAGGATTCCCAAGGAAGTTATGAATGCCCCATCCCTGGCAGTGCTCAAGGCCAGGTTGGACACAGGGGCTTGGAGCAAGCTGCTCTAGTGGAAGGGGTCCCTGCCCGTGGCAGGGGTTGGAGCTGGATGAGCTTTAAGGTCCCTTCCAAACTGTTCTATGATTACCTTTAAGGTCCCTGATGCTCCCGGTGAGCAGACCCTTCCCGTGCTGGGGGCTTGCTCTTGGGTTGTGGGTGATGCAACACCCTGGGGTGCCCTGTGCCCATCACCTACCCCTGCCTGGGCAGCACTGGGTGTCCCAAACCAACCTGGCACCGATGAGCGGAAGGTTTCCATGGCTCCAGTGTCTTCAGCAGCAGCGGAGCCCATTGCCAGCTCCTGATCCGCTCTCACCTCCCTCCCGTGCGCTCCCGCTCGCCACTAAACCAAAAATCCCTGCAGGAAATCACTTAATCAGGGCAGGGACGTTTTGTCTGTGATTTGTGCCTGAATCAGGAGAAAAAGCATCAAAGCTGCCTCGACCGAAGAACACAGTTGTGCATTTTAATCTCTTATAACTTACTTTTATGATGTAATTCTGAATTATGTTATTGCATTTGTATTTAGAGAGCGCAGCAGATGGTGCATGCAGTAACACTTTAAATTAGGGTTTCCCAAATACACATTAAATTTAGATTTAATAAGACAGTTATCACATGGGGATTAAATACCAATTGATTATTTATAAAATAGCCCAGCTCAGCAAAGAGCAGCTCTGCTCCGCGGCTCCTTGCTCCGCCGCTGGCACAGGGGAGCGTACCTGGAGGCAGTGAATGGGGACACTGGTGGGCACTGGTTCCTTGCACATTGTTGGCCTCCTAGACCTTGGCCACAAAGGGACACTGATGTCCTTCCCACAGCCAGGCCAGTGCCTCAGTGTCCTCTCTATCCCAAGGGTCACCCACTGGGAGCAGTGATTCCCTACGTGGGGGGCACTGCTCATCCAATGCTCATCCCACGGGCAGATGAAATCACAGCCCTGAAGGCACCTCCAGCCACATGAACCCGTGCACATCCCCTTCAGCCAGCACAGCCATGCCCGTTGCCCACGGCCCTGCACCCACATCGAGCCATGCACATCACTTCAGACAGACACGGGTGACCTTGTCCTCTTCCCGTGCTCCTGGGGACCCGGAGCAGCTCGGCTCGGGGTGTCCTATCCAAGGGACCCAGCCCCATCACCGTGCTGGGCAGTGACCACAGCTCCTGCCCGAGCAGCTCCGTTCCATGGAAGCATTTAAGAACCTTTGCTGCCACCCATTTATTTGATGATTATTCAGAACCAGAATCTGCTGCTCAGACTCGGTGTAATTTACTTTTCTAATCAAATTGATTTCCATTCAAATGAATTCTCTTGTCCGTCTCTATTCCAGTAATGTTATTTTAAGCATAAGCTGTGTCTTGGTACAAATGTATAATCAAACGGGGAGATGCAGAGAGCATTGTGGTACTTGATGGTGAATCAAATAGAAGTGAAATTATAGAAGCTTTTAGGTGCAATAATTTATGCATTGTAACTTCTGGTTGGGCCCGAGGAGTGAGGTTACCTCCCCCTCCTGGGTTTCGCCGTCATCTGGGTTCGTGGCTTGGCATTTCTTCTTTTCCTTTTGTCCTTTCATTGAATTAGACTCATCTAATTCCTCTCCTAGAGGGCTGAGGGAGGGCTGCCGGCCCAACGGGACCCTGCCCAAACCTAGCAAGGACCAGACCCAGCACCAAGGCTTTGCGGTGCCACCCCAAGGATGTGCCCATCGCACTCCAACCCATCCCTGCCACCCCTTCACCACCCCAAGGGCATTATTACTATTCCTATTACCACCCTTAAGCCACCCTACAACACAGAGCCGCCCTGCAGCCCTGCTCGCCGGGGCTGATGGATGTGCCAGCAGCGACCTTAACTCAGCGCCGGTGCGCCCGAGTCAGCGCCGCAGAGCGCGGCGGACACGCGGCGCGCGTCGGGAATGATGCACTTCCTACTCCTCACCCTTCATTTGTATTTTGTGTCCTGCGCAGCATAGATCAGCCCCCGCCGGGGCTCGGGACCTGCTCCGCAGTCTATTATGAAATGGCTCGGTGCAAAAGATGCATATAAATAAAGAGCAGGCGGGAAGTGTTCCTCTGCCGCCGGTGCAGGGAGCGCTCGCGGCCGTGATTTATGGCAGCTGCTCAGGGGCCTCTCTGGCATAAATCTCTCACTTCATTCATTGCGTGGAGTCAGGGAGAGGGAGCGGCAGCACCCCCAGCACCCACGGGTGCAAACCCGCCCTGCTGCACCCCTCCTGGGCCGCCCTCCAGGGCAGCAACCTTGGGAAAGGGAGGAGAGCCGGGATGGACCCAGCAAAACCCGGAGCCAAAGCAGAGCAGTGCCAGGAAACAAACCATAAACCCATCTAGAAGCCCAGCAGGGACTGCACCAAGTGAGCAGCGTTCACTTAACTGGGGGTTCCTTTCCTGGAGGACGAGGGAGCCGCTGGGCACTGAGACCTGGATGCATTTTCCCCATGGCGGGTGGTGCAGTGCCCCCGGGCTGGTGGTCCCCGACCCACCCAGCTGTGTCCCTGGGGCCAACCTGCACCCAGGGCAGCCCTGGAACACCCTGGGGGACAAAACACAGCACAGGTTGAGGGGAAAAGCCAAATTCAGGGACATGGAGGGTGCAGTGCTCCCCAGGGCAGACCCTGAGACAACGAAGACAGAGCGAGCCTTTAAACCCCAGAGCTGCCTCCAGGAGCCGGCTGTGACCCAACACAGCACCCACAAATAGGATGTTTTAACGCCCTGGGGAAGAGCGCACCCATGGCTGCCTCCCTCTCCCAAATCACAGCCCTGTGTGGGGCAGAGACCGGCTCCTTTACAGCAATCACACCAGCGCAAAGAGGAAACCTTCCTCCATGCACCCCGCGTTCTGCGCCGGCCCCGCTCGGCTGCCGCAGTGCGAGGTCCCGTTCCCCCCCCTCCACCACCACGCTCCTTCCCTCTGCACATTTCTACAGCAGCGTCGTTCACTTGGTTAAATAACTCATTTCTCTCTTTATGCTCCCTGCAGATCATAACACACCCACCCTGACAATGCCGCGCACCAAAGGCCTAATTTTAGACATGGTGTTTATAAGCAATCAGTTTGAAATATTGGAGCGGTCGCGTGATGCTTGGGGTTGGGCCTTTTTTTTCTATTCCCCCTTCCCTGAAACCCTGACGCTCGCAAGAAAGCTGCTCATAAGGAAAACTCTGATTATAACAACTCATTTAGAATAAATCAGTTTGAAATGGTTTATGTAACGTGCGGTGCGAGCCGTGCGCGAGCATCCAAGTCTCTGTGTTTTTCCTTTCAGTGAGATGAGATTAAATGAAACCCCAAATGCAAGTGGTTTTGGGCACTTTTTTTTCCCCCTGCTAAGCAGAGGAAATGCAGCTTCTCAGCAATTTTATGCCCAATTGGGCTGGGAGGAAAGAAAAGACAGACAAAAATGAGGGAGAGCAGCGTTGCTGTGCTCGCAGCCCATCCTGCTCCTGCCACCCCGGCACCCGCTGCCCTCCCTCCCAGCCAAGGGGTCCCTCGCACCCCACTCAACCCCTGCAAGTGCATCTCAGGCTCTTTGGCTTTGCAACCCTTTTCTCCCCCTCCCCACGCCATAGACAACGTCAACACCACCAACAGCCCCATCCCTGCACACAGCCTGAGCCAGGAGCCCTGGCGCAGGGCTTGGACCTCCCGCTGCTCTCCCATGGCCTCACCACCAGAGCATCTTCCCCATCCACACTGGTACCTTACCCCCTGGCAGCAGGGATGGTGCAGGCAGCCACCAGCACTGCATCACCGGGAGCATCCTCACCCTGCACCCGGCTCAGCTTTGAGCCACTTACTCCTCAAGGCCTGGAAACTCATCCCATGCATCCGGGTCCTGATTCCCACCTTGGAAGCGGGGATGCAGTTTCTCCTGCTGCAGCCATTCACCTGCCCCTACTTTGGAGCCTGGTGAAGGTTTTCCTGTGGTGAACAGGCAGCAAGTGGGGTCTGGCTGATGCAGCATCCTCCGGCCTCAACCGAGCACTGATCTGGGGGCTGTGAACTCAATTTAAAGAGATAATAATAAATAAAGTGAGTGCAGGAGGAAGGGAAGAAGGGACCATGGGATGTGTCCAGGAAAAAAAGCCAAGAGATGCCCAAAGGAGCTGAGTTGAGGCGTGGGGAGAGCCCAGGGCAGGGAACTCCAAAACCCCCCGAAGTTGGGCAAACCCAGACAACTGGCCAAGACTGGGGTTTGTTTCATGCCTTAAAGTGGAGCAGCACAGGGACGTGGAGCCCCTTTGGTACCCATTAACTCCTGATGAACAACATCCGCCCCCATCAGGAAAGAAAAACCAGGGCAAAACCCTGCTTTTAATTGTAATTTACTTTATTATTCTGTAAATGTGAATTTTACAAAGCGCTTTACAATTAATGATCACGTCGGGTTGGTTGTTTTGGGGGGGTTTAAATGGATTTTTCATCATATGAAAACAGCTACGAGCACAGTTCCAGCTCGGGGGGGGGGGGGAAGAGGGGGTGTCTTAATCTTGTCTCTTTTTGTTTTAGTTACTGATACATCGTGTCAGCCATGGCTACAAAATAACAGTCTTAACTATACAGAGTAAGAGCACATAAATACCAGTGAATAATGCACGAGAAAACCAACATAAAGAAGAAGCAAGCATCGTTTGTGGCTGCGACAGTCGAGGAACATAACTCAGTGGTACTGTGAGATTTCCCTACAGCACACAGTATTTTAACAGTCATGAATTACAGTACTACTTAATACCCTATGAAGACGCTTTAAAAACAACCTTGTACTTTAAGTCCTTTTTTCTTGGTTTTCCCCAAACATCCTGTCCAAAGGATTAATGTTCTATTTGAATCAAGTGCCATCCAAACGTTCAAGTCAAAAATATTTATACATTTATACTCAGTTGGTTTATTATTATTTTTTTTATTATTATTATTTTTTTTCTCTTTTTTTTTGTCTGCTAAAAATAGTATTGCAAGTTTTGGCTTTTTTACCTTGACATAAAAATCATCATTTTGTGTGCAAAACGCTTTAACAGTGGAAGAAACTCATCGGAGGAGCCGAGGGGTTTCCGATGTCAGACGTGCCCCCCCCGGCCCCGGCAGCGCTCACAGCACGATTCAGAGAGCAGGAACACTTTGAACAGCAGTTGGAGCCCGGGGTGCCCCGGGCTGGCGATGGGGCGCTGGGGATGTGGTGCCGGGGCTCATCCCGGCTTCCCGCGGGCCCTTCTCCACTCAGGGAGCAGATTCCGACACACAAAGATCTGAGGGACCCCCCCGTGGGCAAAGGGCGGAGGGGAGGGAGGCGGCAGCTCCCTGGGGTGCTCTGCTCCCCCGTCAGCCCTGGGTTGTTCCAGTTTGGGGGGGCCGCGTGGGCTGGAACAGGGGAGCCCTGGTTGGTGGCACCCGTGGACAGGCTCCCACCACCAGCCCCATGAGCCCCGGGGGGATCAGAGGGTGAAACCACAGTTGGAGGAATTAACCCATCAGGGTGGCAAACAGGACCCGCTCCCCATCTTGTGCCGGCACCATCCCTCCTCCAGAGCCCCTTCCATCACCGAGCCAGCCCGGGGGACACCGGGGGTCACCGTGAGCCTCGGCCGATGCCGAGCGGGACCGGGGTGCAGCAGAGGCCATGCAGCCCTTCTGCAAAGCAGCAGCTCTCAGGGTGGTGGTAACGGGTGCTAAGGAGGAGGAGGAGGAGGAGAGGGGCTGGCTTCTACACTATATGGCAGCTGCAGGTAACTTGGATGCTTACACTCGGATTTCTTTAAAGGTGCTTGGTATAAGTTTAGATATATAATATACATGTAATATTGCTAATAGTCAAGCATAAGAATAAAGGTGCAGACATACCATAAATACTGATGCTTTGATTTTACACTGTCAGACCTAGATGAATGCAGTTTCCTATTCACATTATAAAGCAGCCCCAAATTCTAGAATTGAAAATAGTGTCGTAAACAAAGAGGAGGAAGGAGTCGGTTCTGATCTGATCTTCATCTGTTTTCCTTGGAAAAGAAAAGGATCAAAAAATTCTAAGGCACTCAGGAAAGCCGCATACAATCGATGACTGCTCTGTTCCCACCTTACATTCAGTGTTTGAGAGGGGTTACTCGACGCTTTTGGAGGGGTTTTTTTCTCGGAAGAATACAATCATTCCCATGTAACATCTGCAAACATATCAGGAATCCTCCACACACAGGAAACATTAGTGCAAAATGCTTTGCCCTCATCTACCAGATAAGGAGAAACCCAACGCCCTTCACATTTGAGAAGTTTGCCTTCCTAATAATAATAATTAATAAAACAAACCCAAATAATAATAATTAAAAAAAAAGAAAGAAATGAAAGAAAATGGAAAAGAAAAAGAAAGAAAAACCCCCAAAATATACAGGAAGTTGTGCTAGGTATAAAAATAGATATTTTCACTGTGCAACTTGACTCTCTTCAGACTCTCTGTCCTAAGCCATTCAAGTACTTCTGCTGCTGCCCCCGGGGTGGCCCCACTGGGCAAGGACCGACTGTCTGGGCTCGGGTTTGGTCCAGAATGAATCCCTCCAGCCAAGCGCAGCGCCCGGCCGCGGGGCTCGGGCTGCCCCCCAGCCCCAGCAAGTGCCAAAAAGGAGGAGGAATCCTTTGCATTCTCTCTTTTAATATACATCTCTCTATATGTGTATATATACGCACGCAGACACACACAGGACGACTTCTGCTCTCTCACACCCGGCTCCGCTCCCAGTTTGCCTCAAGCTTTTGGCAAACCCAAAACCTGTTGGGGAGGTGGTGGTGGATGAGGCCCCCCCCCAGCCCCACAGCCTGGCTGAGCTGCCCAAGAGCTGGACCCCAGCTCCTGGGGGACAGGACACCCCCATGGCCAAGGACCTGGGCCGCTGCATCTCCTCGGGGATGGCAGGGGAAGAAGCGCACCCCAAGCTCAGCTCTGTGGTCCCCAGTGCACCCCCTGCTCATGTTTGTCCTCCGGCTGCATGCCCCCGGTACAGGTAAGCACCAACGGGCATCACTGTGCACAAGGAGCCTCCTCCCATGGTGCTGCCAGGCTCAGGACGAGCTGCCCCAGCTCTGGGCTTCAGCAAGAGCACGAGTTTTATCTGCTGACGTGGGTAAAGTGCAAATAGAGCCCCTGGCCCTGCCTGTCCCCGCTCCCCTGAAGCATCACACACCTCTCAGCAGCTCATCACGCTGCCGCCCTCACCAGCCCTCACCACCACCAGCTCAAGTGGTCCAGGGCATCATGGTCCACCCAAGCCAAGCCATGCCAAAACCCCAAATCTGTGCCAGCCATGAGGCAGGAAGCACCCCATCACTGATTTCTTTTCCTGGAGCCCTGGACCAGGCTAAGCTCTGGACAGCTTTGTGACTACGATGCAAAAAACTGCTTCAAGTATCAAAGAAAACAAAAGAAATGGCCAAAAGTTGGGTTATCCTCTCCTCCCACCCCCTTTCCCAATGGAAATACAAAGAAGGAAGAAAACCCTGAGCAAGCGCTGTCTGGATTCAGGAACCAAAGCAGGGAAGAGAAGAGCACAGCCACAGTAGCCTTCAAAGTGACTCTTTGTGCACTTTGCACTTGTTCATAGTCCCAAACTCGCTAAAGAACAAGCTGCAAATATCATTAAAGCAGGTGTTTAGTCACAGTAAAGATAGTAATTCACAAAGGAAAGGAAAAAGCCATACTTGGCTTCCATATCGCTGCCCCCAGCCCTTGGGGCACCCCGGCCTCAGCATCACCATGGATGCCCGGCATTCCCTAGCCTGGCAGGAGCACGAGGAAGGGATTCCAGGCCCTTGGGGCATCCCGAGGCTGAGCAGGCAGAGCTGATGTAGGCAGGAGGCAGCGAGGGGGTAAAGATGGGACCCGCTGCCCAGCCAGGGCACCTGCAGGTCCCATCCCAGCTCCTGCACCATTGAGCTGAGGCCATCTGGGGCCACCAAAGCCAATACAGCCTGGAGACATCAGCTTTCAACATAGAAATAATAGAGGAATAACTCAACATTGGGCTTTTACCCCGGCAGGGCCTGTCTGGAGGATGAGCAAGAGGCAAAACGCTTCCTCCTCCCCAAAACCTTTCACAGAAGGCAGCGAAGCTGATTTTTTCTGGTTTTACTTCCAACCCACTCCAGGTTATTACAAAGTGAGAGCCTGGTTGGTCTGGGGAGGAGGGAAGGGGCAGTGGACGAGCCCCACACGCCTCACTGTGCCTCCAGTGCAGAGCTCCCGGCTCCGTGCCCTTTGGAGCAAGACCAACGCGTTCTCCATGCGTGGATTCCGATCCAAATCCCTTCGGAGGTGGCTGAGGGGGGCTGTTCCCAGCTCTGGCACATGCCCCAGGACCTGCACACCCTGCTGCCGAGGGTGCCATGAGCCCATTCACCCAAGTGGGTGATGCGAAGGTGCAAGGAAGGAGCAGCAAACAAAAAGGAGCTGCTGGGAGGGAGGGAGAGAGAAACCAAACCCCAAAGCCAGCCGTATTGAGGGAAAAAACCCGACAACAACCACAGCACCGGCCAGGGCCTCCACCTGCACCCCGCGCAGTCCTCCCGACACGTGCAAGCCTGAACTCCCATGGAACCATCCCTGATCCCAGGAACTGGATAACGCTCCCGGAGACAACGGCACCGAGTCCCTGCCAGCCTCCAGCAGCGCCCGGGCCCCGCAGCATCCTGCCCTGCAGCACCCACTGCAAGGGGCTCCCTCCGACAGCAGGAGCCTGTAACGATTTCCCCCACCCCTGTCCCACTTGGCTAAAGCCCTTCTGCTAGAGACAACCATCGCCAGTCCCAGCACCTGCACCCTCACGCACCTCGCTTTCCTGTTAAGTGACGGTAAAACTTGCTGTAGAGGACAAGGTTAACGATGGCTTTACTTCTGAGCTGAGTGATGGATGGGGTGGGGATGGCGGGGGTGGGGGGTGGCGAGCTTTTCTCCTCCCCTTCTTCAAATAAAACCGAAAGAAAAAGAAAAAGAAAAGAAAAAAAAATAAGGAAAAAGCTACAATCTTATCGACTAACCTCAGGAATATCAAAAAAGGAGCCCAATAGTTTGAAGTAGGTCGCCACAGACCTAGTCGTTTACAGTATAACGAATGCGATTATTTCCTTCATAAATTTTAAATACAAGCAGAATAAAAATCACATTTTTTTCAGGCAACAGTAGCAGTTCAGTAGGTAAGTGGCTTGATCACATTTGTTTTGTTTCGTATTAGTAATGCATGCAAGCAGCTTTAGTATTACAGATCCCTTATAGGTCATGAAATGTTTGCTCTCTTTATAAAGTCCCTCCAAAAGTACCATCTTGTCTTCTCACAGGAGTTTCGGGCCGGCTGGAGGAGCCCGAACCTTGTTCAAAAGGTTGCGGAGTGCTTTGGGTATCCGATGCCATAGCATCTGTGGCAGCTGCCTCCTGTATCACAGAGCCAGCCCCTTCGGCATCCTCGCTCTGTTCGAAGGACTGGTTGGATCCATTGCTTAGCTCTACATTCACTGTGTTAGTTCTCAAGGCTACTATAGTTCCTGAATCGCTCCTCCTTTCTGCATAGATTCGCTGCTCAAAGACCTGAGCAGTGTTGGGCTGGAACTCAGGATCCAGGGGGACACTGTTTGTGGTGGAGCCCATGACCGTGCGGTACATCTCCATCCCTTCCGGCAGCATGGACTTAATCTTCGGCAGCCAGCGCTTGCGGACGCGGCGGGCGTTGGTGCACATGTCGGCTGCTATAACATTCATCTCGCTTTCCTTAAAGCTCGGGGCAAAATTCTGACAATACACTGCAAAGACAGGGATACACAGAGCTGAGGATTCAGAGGAAGCACCACAAAGGTGGTCCAGAGGTGAACACAGCCTCTGTCCCGTCCTACAGACCTGCAGATGCCATGGAGAGGAGGCTCACCCATGGACCGAGCTCTCGCAAGGAAAGACTTACAGACAAGGGTTCCTCAGCTCGAGACTGGGACAATCGGGAAGGGATAAAACCAGAAGGCATAAAAATCCCAGCTGGCCTGGGGAAGGGCGCTGGCGAAGGACCACTCAGCCCTTGGGGATGCAGGGACCCACAGAGGACCCAGCCTCCAGCCGGAGTACAGCACCAACACTGGGATGGCCAGAAGCAGAGATGGACACAGAAAAGGTCAATGCAAACTCCTCAACAGTAGATCCATCAACGGCTCTTAAAGCCACAGAGGTGCAGGCACAGCTGTGGGGCTGGGAAATGCCGGAGCTCCTCTTGGCTGAGCAAAGGAGCTGCCCAAAGGACTGTCCTCTGCCTGTCCCACGCCTCGTGCCGGCCGCTGCAGGGCCAACCAGTGCTGCATGGACCACCAACCCTGCCAGCGTGGCTGCTCTGACATCCCTTCACCAGCACGTACTCTGCAGAAGCCCAACAAGACCTTGGCTGCAGCCCTGCTCCTCCAAGGGGACCAAGCACCTGATGTTATGGAACAACATCCAAGGAACTGCCACAGTGAATAATTATCAGCTAAAGCTTGTGCACAAGGTAAAATTCAGGCAGTAAGAAGTCATCTTATGCCCTGACACATGGCAGTGGCACTGGACAGCGATGCCTTTCCAGACTCTGAAGGTATTTGCAAACATCAGCAAAGACCAACCCATGGCTCTGCAGTGTGAGCTGCTAACAGGGAGCCTGTCTTAGGAGAGCACCACGCACAAGCTATGGGCAAGCACCTCCAGCACAGCTTAGTGATTTTGTGTCTATGTATTGAACATCTGCCATCTTATCCCTTTTCTCCATGTGCTACAGATCTCAGAGGGTGGCTGGAAGGCCCCTGGAGTTCAGCAGCACAGCAACAATCAGGGAGAGGAAAGATTTATCTTCCCAAACTTAAAAATAAGAAATAGTAACAAAAAACCTGATCAGAGTTTCATTTTCCAGCACAATAAAGTTTGCAGAAAGATTCAGTACCCAGCATCCAGCGTGGGTGAGAGAACACACTGCTTTCCACTGTGTATCAAGCCCACGGTAAACAGGCTTTGCTGCACCAACCCATCAGGGTCTCCTGCACCACCCAGGTCCTCCCTCACCAGCAGGCACCTTTTGTCCCACTGCATGCTCCTGTATTCAAGAGTGACTTCAGAAGCCAAATACTTAACCATTTGTCTCTAGCACCTGCCATAAATAACTAAACTACGTTGATGGAAGTAACCAAACTCTCCTTTTCTTGTATAAACACCAACGTTGGGCACAAACGCACAGGGAGCCCTGCACATCCCAGCCCTGGCTCAAGTCAGGGCGCTGTGTAATCATGCAAACACAAGGGGATCTTACCTGCAGGGCAGCACAAGAGGGGTTAAACAGCTCTGCAACCCCAGCTCTGAGACAGAGCTCAGCGGCTCTACAAAGACAGAGCCACCCCAGCCAAGCCACGTGGCACGATGCAGAACTTTGTCTGCAGCTCCAATGTTAAAACCAAAAGCTCCTGTTGCTTTCTGCAGCCTTTTAAAAGGCAGATACCTGCAGCAGAGCTCCCACTGGAGGTATTGAGGGAAACAAAAAGGGTTTACAATACACAGTCAAGGAAATAAGACTGTAAAAGCACCAGACAGGCTGCCAGTGAGGTGCTGGTCACCCCACTCCAGCATTTACTGCTGAAGACCAACAGTCCCAAAAGCCCAGGACATAGCCACAGCCTGGGCACAGTGGGGCCAGCACCACCAAGGGATGGGCAGAAGATGGGACTGGACCATGGCCTGGAGCTGTAGGTTCTGCTCCTATAAACCAGGGTGGAGCCCTGGAGGCATAAAAGCCAGCACATGGAGATGGCCTGTTTCAGTGGTATCAAGCTCTGGATGCTGCCAAAAACATGACTTAGGTTTCCTCCTTAGAGCACCTATCAATAAGTTAATTAACTGTAAAACCACTGCTTTAAAATACAGGAAAACAGTCAAGCAGCAATAATGTTTTATATTAAGATACTGCCAAAACCCACCAAAAAATTAACTTGGGCCCCAAAATGATGCAAAAAAAAAAAAGAAAATTAATTTTCCTATAACCCGACTTCACCACGGATAGTCCCCACTGTTACACAACAGAGATGGCCTTCCCTGCTCAGGTTTTGGCTTTGCTCTTAGCCTGCTGTTCCATCAGAGCAGCAGAAAATCTCTCTCCTTACATTTGACTGCATTAAGAACCCTGCTGTCCAGGGGCTTCCTGCTGGGATCGCTCGTGGAGGACCGGATTCCAGTTCCGCAGCTGTTGGCAAGCGTGTTCCTGCAAGAAAGGCAAAGGAGGATCCTTACACTGGGGACTCCAGGTGACAGCCACTGCCTTGTCCTCTTCCCTTTAGGTTCCTATGGAGGGGTCGCTATGTTACATGATTTCAAGGTAAGGGATTGGAAACCCTTGTGCTCAGGTTCATGCATCACTAAGAAAAAGCACAGAAATCAGTGCAGCACATAGGAAGGATGAAGCACTCCTGACACATTCTCTATTAACGTGGTTAGAACAGCAGAAAATAAACCAAATCCCTGGGGGTCTGGAGAGCAAGAGGACATACCGATCAAAGAAGGTGGCCAGAAGACGTCTCAGAAGGACCTTGTGTTTGACACCGGCACATAAGTGGCAATTCATCAGCTGCCCCCGGGTGATATAAACACCTGAGCCTGGAAGGGTTGGGAAGGGAGAATTCAAAATTAAACCCTTGTCTCACTGACAGCATCGCCTCCGAGCACGAGCAAACTGCTCCTGCGCTGGTCGGCCGCCGCTGTAACGCAGGAGGGAGTGTGTTCTTCACACGCTGCTACGGAAGCCCACCGAGGGCAGCAGGATCTTTGGAGAAGCCTAGCAGGGACTGTCATCACTGGCATCACGGCAAGGCCCTGGTAAGAGTAATAACTAATTTTATCTGTATGGAAATCAAGTGAAAGTATCCTTCTCTTTTTCTTGCAAATACACCCAGAGCAAGGCTTTATACAGTGACTTTATGTACAGATCAGATTATTTATTCTTGCTGAAGGAAGAAAACCCCAGTCCGTTTGGCCTTTCATTCTTCTCAAGTCAAAGACTGCAGAACACAGAGCTAGAAAGAAAAGATATCCCCATCTAGCACAGAAAAGGTACGGGGTTACACTACAGATGTAACTGCTTCCAAAAACCCCAGCCCATCACCTCCTGATACTTGTGGTGTGCAGGGAATTTTCCTTCTAATGCACAGGAGCTGCTGACTTTGAAACACACCGTCTCTAAGAACGTTCTCCAGCAGAAAAAAGAGCCCCTGCCAAAGCAGCTGCACACGTCCAGGGCTTTGGCAGTGCTTTACAGCAGGTTTCTTATCAAACCTTTTTACTTTGCACATAGTCACACAGAGCAAACTGCTCCCGCCTCAGCATCAGCTTACAGGGGGAGGTTATCCTGTCTTTCAAGCACACTGTTATAGGAGAGGGTTCTGGTATTTGCTTTTAATTAAGATTAAATAATGGGTTGTATCTGGACCCAGAACACACTCTGTTCTCAAGATACAAAAACATGTACTGGAGCAATAAAATTACCTCCTGGATTTCCAGGAAACCCTACAGATGACTGTCCCTGACCTTCCGGATGGAGACAGAGCTGCAGAGCAGCCCATGCCATCGGGGCAAGCACTGGCAGCTCCCTGAGCCCAACCCTCTGCCCAGGGATGGCAGCCAGGCCCCTGGTCCTGCCCCAGAAAAGAGCAATCCCCGCTTGGATCTCCGAGCCATCCTGCTTCTCAATGTGTTACCTTATCATTAACCCCAGACTGGTTTGGGTTGGAAGGGACCTTAAAGCTCCTCCAGCTCCAACCTCTGCCGTGGGCAGGGACCCCTTCCACTAGAGCAGGGTGCTCCAAGCCCTGTGTCCAACCTGGCCTTGAACACTGCCAGGGATGGGGCAGCCACAGCTTCTCTGGGCACCCTGTGCCAGTGCCTCAGCACCCTCACAGGGAAGAGCTTCTGCCTAAGAGCTCAGCTCAGTCTCCCCCTGGGCAGGTTAAAGCCATTCCCCTTGGCCTGTCCCTACAGGCCCTTGTCCAGGGCCCTTCTCCAGGTTGCATGTATTCTCTTCCACACACAGAATCCGTCCATCAGATCACAATGAGTGCAAGACTTGTTGAAGACCCTGTCGGACAGAGCTGCTGAAGTCCCCAGCATCAATCATGGCACAAATAATCAGAGACAAAAGGAAAATGCTCCAAAGTGGAGACCTGAGGAAAACTTTTGCTGCAGACAGAAGCCCCTGCCCCAGCTCTCACCCGGTTTGAGACAGGACCTGGCTTCCTTTAGCAGCTGTATTTTAAGAGCTAATCCATCAGAGGGTAACTTCACTTTGATAAATAAAACCCAGCCGAGGCAGCCACTATCAGTTAGTGATATTTATCTACTTCTTTTCCCAGATTGAAAAATGCAAATCAAGCAGAGCTGCCTCCAGCCACTCTGCAGCTCTCCCTGTGAAAACAACCTGCACCACTTGATGGCTTTAAGAAATCTCACATCAAATGTAAATGGGCACAACATGAATATTCCAGATACCAAATAAATACTTGTGGCTGTCCGCTGTGCTGCGGCGTGCGCGTTTTACTGCTGCCTTCCATCCGAGCCCCATCCTCCATCAGGTGGAAAACTTTCTGGGCATCCCCTGAAACAAGGATTCCTTCTACAGCCTGAAAATGAAATCCTGCTACTCAGCATGAGATAAATGTCCAGAAGGAAAGGACAACTGATTTGGATTGATTGCACAGCCACGTTATCATTTTCATACCAAGGGTTTCATAGGTATTAATGAACCCTCCCTACTGTGGCAGCAGGCATGGGCAGTTGTGCAAAGATCACTTCAACTAAAAGCAGCTACATCCAGGGGGGAAAAAACCCTCCCAGCAGCATGGGCTACAGGCTGAGAAGAGCACTGCAGCAAAGCGAAACTGGGGGGAACTGATAAAAGCAGAACATAATTATTGAAACTGGAATTTGACCTGGATACCCCAGTCCAACATCCATCTCCTGTGCAGCACTCGAGAAACCTGGGCTGCAGGCTGGCATGGACACATTGGACAGCTACTGGATTTCACTTTTCATTCAGCTCTACACCACCAGTACCATTAAAGCTAAACAGCATCACCTTCCACCTCAGGTTGCCCATAAATCCTTTACAGAGAAGTAATGAGTGCTTCCAATATCGTAAACTCCCCCCAAAATGAAAATAAAGATGGAAGAAAGGACCAAACCCAATTCCTTCTCTTCCTGCCTACTGCAGGGTTTGACCACTTAATAACACCCCCAATTTTATAAGAGCTTTCACAGGCTTTTCAAAGCCTCTGCACTGACACAGACTATCTCCCCACGGCTTTGTAAATCTGATAATGTGAGAGGGTTTTGGGGTTTTCAGCAGGTTTTTTTTTAGATCTGTGCATCTAAATCAAACCACAATTGCGATGCAGCCCGCACCAATCAGGAAGAACACAAGCTGGAGAATTCAATTAAAATGCTAAATTAATTCAATGGAATAAATCCTGTTAATGACACATTTTTCTATCAGCAAATTAAAGGAAACTTAGAACTTTCAAAAGGATGATTGGGGATGAATAATCCAGAAAGACACAGGAAGGGCACACAGGATGCTTGACTCCAGCAATGGTGCAGGACGAGCACCACATTTCAAGAAGGAAAACATCAATGATTCCCAGGAATTGCCAACCAAAGAAACATTCCCCCTTCATTACCTGCAACAAGCTCAAGCTTTTCTCCAGGATCTCCCTCCGAGTAGAGTTTTGGGTGGCAACGGTATCCGATTTGACTGATAAGACTGGCTGGGAGAGCAACGAGATCCCGTCGGATGAGGACACAGGAGCGGTTCTCCAGTGGGATCTGCTCCGGCTTCTCTTGAGCAACTTAAAAACGAAAAGGGAACACCATGAAACCAGCTCATTATGCAGGAACAGCATTAACAGAAGGTCAGGTATTGAATTTTTCATGTGGCTGCTGGAAATGTTCCTCCTCTCCAGATGCTGTTACCAGGGCTATCGGCTGCGGGGCAGATGCCACCTGAAAGCATGGGAAGAACCCCTGGTCCCCCCCATCACCTGCCACAGCAGTCTTGTATGTGCGTTCAGGTTCTGCGAGAGGGATTCTTAGAATCTAATTAGGCTTTAACTTCACCTAAGTTAATCATTTATGAAAATGGGCAGCTCTGCACAGCTGGCATCGCTCTGCCTGCGCAGCACAGGAAGCTGGCTTCCCCAAATGCTCCCAGAAGAACAGCAGGTTACTTCACCAGTGAATTGCCCAAGTTTGATAAATATCTGCATCAGTACCAAAACTGCTTCTCCTGGTGTTTTTTTCCTGCTGAAGTTAAAAGCCAGGCTCTGTGGGTGCCCTCTGCACTGAGACAGGTCACCACAGCCTCTCCTGAAGATGGCACCCACCAGCCACAACCTACAAGCTCCAACTCACACCCTGAAGCTCCTTCTCTTCCTCTGCCTGTTGCAGGCGACTGTTTCCTCTCAGTAACAAGAGACACCCCAACCAACAAGCCAAGATATGTTATTGAGCTGTGGCTTCACAACCAAACTACTGGGGTTTGCCAGGACATGGCTGTGACTTGCCCCGACACACAGTTCCTGTAGCCCACCAATGCACCACTGCAATCATTACCACTGGAAGTACTGAACTGTCCTACCAGCAGTGTGCAAGTCCGGGTCTTGCGGGCATACAGGGGATTCCTTGCTAAAGCACATTTACAGTGCAAGTCCACAGGCTTGCCTAAAATTCCGATTTCTGACACCAAATTGGGCTGACGTGTCCAGAAACGCCAGCTGCACTGGGACATGGTGGGGGCAGTTACAGCGCTGACCTGCAGCCCAGCTCTACAACAATCCACCTTTTTGTAACCCAAAACGTGATAATGGTACAAGTGCCACACAGAAACTCAAACTCAGCTCGGTGCTTGAGTACCTGTGAATACAGAGAGAAGGAAAAACGCCAGCAATCCGCGTTTCTGAACTCAAAATGTCTCCTGTTCAAAAGGTGCCTTTTCCTGCAATTATTTTGGTGTTCTGGGGGCCACTTTTCCTCTCTCTAGATAAAATAACAAGTTTTGCAGACTTGTTGCTGCAGTAACCGAGGGACGATGGCTCGGGCACAATGGGAGCAGTGTTCTAACTAGGACATGCCCCGCGCCGCCGTGCTGTGCCGTGGCATCCTATCGCAGGCACGGGGCTGGAGCATCGCCACCCTCATTGCTCCCTGCTTCCCTAAAAAGTCGGAATACCGGGAGGATGCCCCTTGGCCGTGGAGCTGCACCATGGCAGAGCAGCCTTTCCTGCAGTGATTAAGGACCAAACAGCAGCAGAACAACTCCCATGGTGTTTTTAAACGAACTTCTCCTGCCATCACAGCCTGATTATCTATGCTGTGCAGTCCCACTGGCACACAGCATTTTCACCAAGTGCCATGTTTCCCTGCTCAATAGCACTTCCAAGCATCCAGACACCCTCTCCCTGGAGATGGAAGTCACCTTCTACGCGTACAGAGGAAGCATCTCAAACACCTCCTGTATTTCTGATGCTTTTAAAGAGTGATAAGTAGAATATATCCAAGGAAATACTAGTATGCTCTAGCTTAAACCAATCAAAAGCAGAGGTGCACAGGGTATGAGGGAATCAACACTCAGGGAGGGCCTGCTCTGCTGTCCTTCACTGCCTTTTTGGCTCTGGCAATGCATGGTCACCACAGCACGCTACAGCACGCGGGCCACTGCAAAATGCAGATCTCAAGGGGAGAGGAAGCAGGAGGAATGGATACCACCATCAGCTCCTACCCAGAGCCCTCAGCAGGTTACACACAGGCTGAAATAGAAGGTAAAATTATATATATACCCCATGTATGAGTGATTGCTTTGCTGGTAAACCCCCCAAACCAGACTGGGATGTGCCAAGATCCTCAGCAGCAGCAACAGAAGACAGGTGAGTGATGCTACTGGGGGTTAAAAGAGAACTTGGCAATGGCTTTATGACACTCCTCCCCACCTAACACCCAGCAGTGGTTAAGCTGCTGCGGGGAAGCTGTGCAGACCGAGATGGATTCTCAGAAAGTTTCTCAGAGGCCTCCAGTTAATTTTTAAGCAGTACAGAGGCTGTGGGTCTCCAGGGAAAGCAGTCGCAATCCATCTCCCAAATGAGACAGAGGTCAGAGCAGGAGAAGGCTCCTCGCAGCTTGTGACCCAACGCTGCTGTAATGGGAACAGAGGAGAACTCAGACTTGAGCAGCCATCAGCCATCTCCTCCTCCTGCCTGCTCCTTCATCAAACTGCTGTCACTGAAGAAATCAAACACCTACAGCATCCAAGGCAAAACAGCTACGGCAGACAAGGACAAACCTACCTGCTCTACCACCTTCACAGGCAAACACCCAACAAGAACCAATTCTGGGGCTAAAGAGATCCTAAAGTAGCCAGAATGGGGCAGGCAAGGGAAAGATCACCACAAGCACTGTGCTCATGCTACCACCCTGGAGGAACTTTGAAGGATGGTGTCAAACCTGAAAGAAAAGTAGCTTTTCAGGAAGCCAACGCTGCTGCCCCGGTTGGTAACAGTCTTGCCTTGAAGGAATTCTCTGCTTTTGAAGGCATTTCACTTCCTACACACGGAGCCATTGAGAAGTTTACATTCCTTCCTGTGAAATCAAATACTTCATAAACTAAAATTTGGGCTAAAATAACCAAGTGCAACTCAATGCATGATTTTGTTTTGATTACAGCTGTCCTGCTGGCTCGCTGCCTATAAATCTCTTTAAACATGGGCACCAATCATTGGGTTTGGACTTGGTTTCCATTAAAACACCAGCACAAACTCAACGATACGAAACAAAACCGACCAAAGATTTAGGCCTTTCAGTGCCACCTCAATTCAGCAGATAGCCATCGGTTATGTAAAGAAGCAGGATACAAGAGACACTTTGGTCCCATGTTCTCAAAGAAAGCCAGCCTGTTTGGCCTTTATGCTCTGAAGAACAGGATAGTATTTGCTTCTAATTAATTTGTATCTTCAGAGGGCAGCGGCTCCTTCCCTTTGAATGAAAGGGCAAACAATGTGAGGTATTGTTGAACACAGTTTTGTTCTCCACCAAGAAAGGAGCCTACCAGCTAGCGGAGAGGGGCCGGAAATCATTACAGAGGAAGCAATGAGAGCTGCCAGCCAAACACTGCTATATTTTATCCATCTCAAACTTACATGGATGCTGCAGCTGGCGACAACTGGTCCAGAATGGGAAACATCCTGGGGTTTCTGGCTGAAGAAGCAGCTTGGAGGAAAGCTGGAGTCACGGGTGCTTCATGGCTCCAAGCTTTGCGTGACGTTACGGGCACATGTCTTCCTTGTCCCTAAAATATACTGTCCAGCTCAGAGGTCCATTACACCTTCTTGCTGAGCCCACAGTGGTTTTGGTGATGCCAGGACAGTTGCATCAGAGATGCTGAGCCCACACAGCTCCTGGTGACCCTCATCAGTGATGGGCAACAAGCTGCTTGGGCGACTGCCTGGGGTCTGGCAGTGCTGGGAATTGCTGGCCATACACTTGGGGTCAGTATTCACTTATTTCCTTGCAACCCAAACAGCAGGGTTTCAAAATTATTCCTGAATCCCCAAGCCCCACCAGCCTGGGTTCTCCTCTTGACCATTTACTGCAGATAAACTACAACATACTCCTGTGGGTAGCAAACAGCTACTTCTGTTTTAGGAATGAGATTCTGAGATACAGAAAGATCAGAGCCATCGACCCTCACCCAAAAGTTAACATTTACAGAGCCTCAGCATGAAACCACAAATCATGAGCCCTGGTCCAACAGAATGGCTCCAAAACCATCACCTGCTCCACTGCCAACCACTACATATGCAATCACAGGGATAATTCTCCCTGCTCTCTACATGGCAAGAAGTTTCTTTTCACATAGCTACACTTTACAAACATTTTTATCCCATTAGCCTATTTTCCACTGGCAGTGGGACTAGCCCAAAAATAGCATCCCAGCTACGGCGCCGGCATCGCCAGCATCAGCCTGCGTATGTAAACCTGTACCACAGAGGACACACGCACGCACTGCGGGACAGGGAGATGATATAGTCCCAACTGGGATAGTTTACGTTTTACAATTAGTACATTTATAACAACGGGCTGGAATGGAGAGATTTGATTTGTGACCTATTTATACAGGGAGGTAATCTGGAATTAGTATAGGAAAAATATCACTGGTTTATAAATACCCCTATCTTGCCTTCGCTTCAAATCTCAGCCAGGAGTGAAACATCTGCCAGCCCAAAATTAAACATCTGTGTTTTACGGGGAGGAAACTGGGACTGGAGGTTTAATGCCAAAAAAGGCCAGAGGCTGCATGTCCCCGGTGTGGGGCTTGGCTGCCTCCGGCTGCTCAGCATCACCGGTCCCCGTGCCGGGATGGGCGATGCTGGTGCTGGCGGGCTCCCATCAGCACACGGCGGTGCCTCCAGCAGCAGGGCTGTGTGAAAAGCAACAAAAAGCCAAAGGGAAATCTTACAGTAACCTTCCAGAACCTAAAGGGGCTGAGATCTAAAGAAATCTGGGCAGAAGCTCTTCCCTGGGAGGGTGCTGAGGCGCTGGCACAGGGTGCCCAGAGAAGCTGTGGCTGCCCCATCCCTGGCAGTGCTCAAGGCCAGGTTGGACACAGGGGCTTGGAGCAAGCTGCTCTAGTGGAAGGTGTCCCTGCCCGGGGGGTTGGATGAGCTTTAAGGTCCTTTCCAACCCAAGCAGGTCACTGCTCCTGCAGTTAGAATCAGCTACTTTATTTCAGCTGTAATTATCCGGCGTCACGAGCTGTGATTTACAGCGCTGCAGCGTGTCATTCCCAGGCTTGGGCCGGGATGCTGCACAGGCTGTGCCGGAGCTGCTCATTATGGATTCTGGGTTGTTTCTTGCCCTCTTTCCTTACTGTCAGGAATCAAGAGGCCAGGAGAGAAAACTATTCTCTCAGCTAATTACCACAACTATTCTATAATGGCTATTTTAGATGAATTTTTAATGAGGCGTGCTCCTGTCAGTTCGGGATTTCATAACTTTCAAGTCCAGCCTTTACATTCCAGCCATTTGCTGCATAAAGATCTTCCCTCTCCCCTGCAAACCGGCGCAGGAGGGGCAGGGAAGGAGGACGGACCCTGGTGCAACTTCGCTTGTGCCTGTCAAAACTGAATTAACTGCATCTGCTGAGCGGAGCTGACTGACAAGAACGAGGTTCAGTGCAGAGAAACGCCGAGCATCTGCAAGTCCTGCTGAAACCCACTTCAGATCAGGCCCACAACGCTGTAATTAACCAGGATAAAAATACTTTGCCTTTGTTTAATGTTTTCTGGAGTTGTGCATTCCTCAAATCAGATGCTAGAAACCTCATTAAGTCTCACCCGTGTCCTCAAGGCCCACATGTTCTCCACAACCAGACCTAGTTAGAGAATAAGGAGCCATTTTACCGCAATGCTCCCAGCTTGCCACAGCAGCAGGCAGGCAAGGGGATGGCAGTGGTGACACTGAGGCCACCAAACATGGCCAGAAGCTGGTGGGCACTGAGGTACCTTCCCCACATCCCCCTGCAAGCTGCCACCCTGTCCACCAACACCTAAACCTAACACTCCTATCGGCCTGTGCTTAACACTGGGTTTATTCTCTTATCTGCTGCTCTGCTTCTCCTTTCACAGGTCCAGCTCTTGTCCCGACCCATCACACCAGTGCCAGCGCTGCAGGAGGCACACTGCTTAACAAGACCTCCTCCTCACTCCCTCTTCTGCCACCAAACCCTTGGCTAAGGGGAAGATGTGCTTCTCGTCTCTCTCATCCTGGCTTTGGAGATTCAGCACGGCTCTGGCTATAAAAAGGGGTGAACAAGGCAAGCGAAGAGCATCAGGCACCAGCATCCCAGCCACACACTCACCAGGATTAGCTCAGTCAGCGCTTCAGCTGGGAATGAGAAACTGGAGAAAAAGGAGGAAAAAAAACCAACAAAAAGCCTCTGAAATGCAGGGCTTCATCTGCTCTGCTCTTCTTTGGCTTTGTTTTTGTTTTTACAAACGGGGCTCTTGGAAACCTTGGCAATCACTATTTTAAAGGGCTCCCCCCTCCCCCAGGCCTTTGTAAGGCTGTCAGGATCTACATGCCAGGAGCAGGATTAGCTGGCTTCTCTCTTCCATCTTATGGTTTTATTATTCTGCACCTTTTGAGGGTACAGTTTATCCCGAGCAATTAAAACACAGTTAGCTCGACAAGTCCAAACCATCATGGAATAGCCTAGGTTTTATTGTTTTTAATCTCTTTTTTTTGTGTGCCCTCTTTTCCAGGAAGCCTGCTACTATAGCTGACTTATTTAAAACAGGAAACTCCCCTGGACCATCCTGGGGTGGAAGAGGTATTTTAGCACAAATGTGGTGTATCACAGCTTAACAGTGTGGCCGGGCAGTGCCACGCTTCCAACCTGCCTCCTCCCTGTGTGACCCCTACCTCGGCATCCTGATGTGGTTCAAGACTTCTCCCTACAGAAACCAAGCAGGAAAAATCAGTGCCTGGCGCTGGCACCTCCAGCAACACTCGAGGAAAGCTTCTCCTATGTTCACTTTTCCAGCTGGGATGATCCCGCACCACAAGCGTTAGGCACAGCAATAGCTGCTGCTGCGCTGGCCCGGTCCTGCCCTCGCCTTCGGAATTCAGTTTGTTCTGTTACTGCCTGAACTGGCCCCGTGACAGGGAAGGGAAAAAATGTGTCCAAGGGTATAATCCCACTGCTGCGAGGAACAAGGCTGCGAGCCCCGGCGCTGAAGGCAAAGCCGCGTTACTTCACTGCGTGCTCCACGGCACAGGGGACGCGCACAGCAAAACAGAAACAAAACCAGCGTGGGGGAAACCAGCCCGATTTCTGTTGGGGCTGGCTCTAACAGCAGCCAGGGCCCTGCTCCTGTCAGGGGGGAGACCATGGGCCTTGTCCCCAACCCTGGTCCCACTCCTCCTCACCCACCTGGTACCAACCACTGGGACTTGAAGCACGGCAGAGAGAGCACACAGGCTTCTGAGGCTCTTTTTCTACAACTGCCTCATCCATTTGTCTCAGCAGATATTTCTGATATTAAAATAGTAACACTGCTACAGTCTGCTTCCCTCCTTTTGCACGTGGCTTGCTAAAAATGCTTGGAAAATACTGGTTATCTGCTTGATCCCCAGCAGGTGACATGCCAAGGGGATGCTGGGCTCCTGCTCTTTGGGACGGGGTGGGACAGTGAGTGGGGTGAACCTGTTTTCAGTCCTAGGGAAAGCCTGGCTTTAGGTAACAGAAAAGGCCATACTTGTCAAATGGTCTCCCTTGCTCAGGAATAAACTGAAGCATCTTTAGGGAAACAGACTCCAGCAGCTCTCTGAAACAGAGTGAAATCACTGCAAAATCAGCCCAGCACTTCCAGCGCAGAACTGTAATGGGGAAAGCAGCTCCAGGTGAGAGGATGCTCCATGTGGCCAGCGCCAGCAGGAAGATGTCCCTCCCTGGGAATCACCCCCGGATCAAAGCTGCTGCCACAACACCTGCAGCTCCGACGGGGAGGCCACTGTGCCGAGGCTGAGTCTCCACATGGGATGCTGTGAGCTGCCTCCGTGCGGGATGCAGGCACGCCAGCGACCTGACTCGGCATCTGTGGTCCTGACCCCCCAGTTCCAGACCCCAGCCTTCCCCTGCTCCTCAGCAGGGTCTGAGCCTTGCCAGATGCCCAAGGAAGCCTCCTCCTACATGGGAAGCGAGAGGGAAGGGGCCTCTTGCCCCTGTGCCATCCTGGGGCTGAGCCAGTAGCTCCTGGCTGAGCACTACCAAAGCGAAGCCACCTCCTCTAAGGCACGTCCAGGGACTCTCACTACCATCTCTTAACCATGGCTTCTGGAAGGGCAAGAGAGGGGTTTTGTTTCGTTCTGGGCATGGTGTTTCTAATGGGGAGCTAAAATAATATCAAGACCCCCCACAAACTGCTTTTCCCTTTTTGACAGTGATGTGCGGGTCAAGGCTGGCAAAGGAAAGGGGGGGTCACTTCAAACAGTGGGGATAAAAATCCTTCCTTCGTTCTTTTTGCAGGTATTCCTAATGAACAACATGCATGGAGATGATTTATTTGCTGTTTTCTCCCTGCCTCCAAATGTCCTGTGCTCATCACTTTACAAAAGATCTGCTCTAAAAAGCCAGTGCAGAGGGAACATTCACCTTGCTGAAGACTAACTCCCAGGCTGACCTCCTAACCCCTGCTGGGCAAGGGCTGACACTTCCCATCCCATGGATGACCACCCCTCTCGATGACCCACAGCCGGTGACCCAGTCATCACCATGGGATGGGTGTCACCACTGCATGGCTCATGTAGCCACCAGGCACCTTGTCAGCAGCCTCAGCCAACAAGGGCTAAACCCACTGTGGCAGATGATACAAAGAGCCTGGGACGTAGCCCATGAGTGATGGCACGGGGGAACCTGCCCATGCCACACCTGGACACCAGCCCCAAGCCCACCACGTGCATCACTTTCTGCACAGTGCTACACAAATAAAGCCCCAGAGATAAAAGCCTGATGAACAAGCCCAAAACGACCCACAAGGGCTGGAGAAGAACCAAGCAACCACTGCAGGCGAGCAGAAAACCCAAGAAGAGAGACTGTCCATTACCAGAGTAGCCTCCTGAGGACTTGATGTACATCTGCCCGTACTGCTCCTCCACCATGGTGTCGTACGCCTCGTCGTCCTCCTCATCCTCCTCGTTGTGGTAGGAGGTGGGGCTGTCAGTGGTGGGAATGCTGCTGGCGCCGGGGCTCGTCCGCTCCCCCTGCGAGTACTGCACCTGCTGCACGTTGGGGATGAGGGTGGCCAGGTTGGGCATCCCATAGTAGGAGACGCGGGAGAGCTTCAGGGGGCCCGTGTTGGTGCCACCGCCAGCCCCATCGCGGGCAGCAGGCTCCAGAGGCCGCTTGCCGGGCAGGCCGGGCAGGGCGGCCGCCTGCAGCTCGAGGTTCTCGTGCTTGACACGCGTGAGGAGCGGGATGGGCATGGAAGGGGACATGACGTAGGGCGCCGAGGCCGACTGCAGCTGGTTGCAGGGGCTCTGCGGCTCCGAGCTGGGGTCTTCGATCATGGTGGTCTGAGAGTCACAGTGGGGAGAGCTGACCTTGAACATCAAGTCCGTCCCTTTCTCCACGATGTGCTGGATCTGCAGGAAGCCCGCCGTGTACATCACCACCAGCTGCTCGCTCGCCGCCATGGTCAGCTTCCCGGTGTAGCAGAAGGAGAGGATCTGCTGGAAGCAAGCGGGGGGCACGGTACCCGGCAGCTCAAAGGCGTTCTTGCTGTTCCCACTGAACAAGTCTCGGAAGTAGAGGCTGCTGGCGGCCAGGACAGCCCGGTGAGCCTTGAAGGCTTGGCCCTTCACCACGATGGAGACATCGCAGTACAGCCCCAGCAGCCGCTGCTCGTTCAGGCAGCCCAGAACGGTGTTCCCAAAGTTGGGAATCTCTATGTGCAACATCTGCGACATGGCTCAGGATCGGCTGGAGCTCCTCAGACATTCAATGCAGGAATATCCAAAGTAGGGCACATCTGAAAAAAGGGAGAAGGCAGGGAAAGAGGCAGAGCGTTTTTAGACAGTTCACCAAAGCAGGCAGGAGCAGAGGAACCCATCTCACCCCACATCAAAGGCTCAAAGCGAAGCCCCAGAAGCCGGGGCGGAAAAGCAACCGCTCATAGAAATTACTGATCAATGTTTTCAGACAGCGTTGGAAATGCCATTGGTGGATGGCAAAGGAGATCCCAAAAACACCAGCATTTTCTTTGAGTTGTGGTCTGTTTAAATAAGCACCACTGATTTATTCCCCGGGGGGGGGTTACTTTATGCAGGAAAACCTGAACAGTAAAGGCAGAGGAGCGAGCAGTAAAGCAAACCTAAGACAGTGAAGACAGACCTCGGGCAGCGTTATATAAGAAACACAACAACCAGCAGCTATGTTGAAACTACAGAAAAGATATTTATAAAACAATGTGCCATTCTGCCTGAAATAAATGCAGGATTCTGCCCGAGCGACAGCTCCCAGGGAAAAGCACTTTGAAAAGCAATCTTGCCATTTGCACCAGAAAGAGGAAGCGTTTCAACAGTTAAACCCCTTCTCAACAGATTTATCCTCCAACAAAACGAGGCTTATCTCCAAATTAAGCCAGATATTTGAGCCCCAATAAAACAAACCAACGTGCCGCAGCGAGGCGAGCTGTCTTCTGATTTTCCTCCCCTAAATCCAAAGTGGGGCTGGGGGAGCCCCAGCTCAGCCCCTCCTGCAGCCAGAGCCCCCCGGCCCCCAGCCCAGTGCCCCGGTACCGAGGACCCTCCCAGCAACCTCCCATGAAAGAGGCTCGGGACGATGGCTCTGGCTCCGCATCCCACCGCGGCCACCCCTGGGGCCGGCGGTACCTTTTGGTCGTGGGGGTAATTCCTCCTTTCACTGACCAAATGGAGCCTTGCCTTCGGGCACAAACCCCACGCAGGCAGCACCGGGTGCAGCCCGTGCACCGAAACTCCAGCAAAGCAAATCACTGCGGATTCACTGACACGAGCCGGAGCCCGAACCTCCCCGTCCCCCCTCCCCGAGCTCCATGCAAGAGTCCAGGAGATTTAAAACCCCATTTGTCTTCAATACTAGTGAAGAAAAACTACGGTTAACTAGTCCTGAAAGCTCGTAAGAAGAATATAAAGAAAAAAAGAAGTTTAGCTGAGAAAGATTCCCCAGGAGAAAAAAATCCATGAAAAGAAAATAATAACCCACAAAGAGCCGCTCTGTTCCCATTGCTGGGAGGAAAAAAAAAGTCCTATCTGTAAGGCCACGGGGTAACAGGAAGAAAAGGGAAGGGACTCGGAGCCAATTTAATTGTATCTGCATGGTCAAAAACCCCTCCCGAGCGAGCGAGGAAGTTCCCGGTGCCCTCGAACGTACCTTCCGCAGCGCCCGTCCGCGTCCCTCCGGGTCGCCCACCGCACGCTGCGGCTCAGGGCAGGCACCGAACCCCACCAACTCTGGGATCAAACCCTGGGTTTGTATCTGCTGTAGCTCAAGCTTTTACCAAGTCAAATCTCCCCGGCAGCGCACAGCATCTAAATGAATAGGCCGGATGCAGATTAACATTCAGGCTGCTCTCTGCAATGAATAGAGCCCTTTGATTAGGGACCTGAAGTAAATGCCAGTTTCAAACCGAAGCTTTAAAAACAGAGAAATATCAGTGCCAGAGGAATGCTCTCAGTGTTGGTACAAGACAGACTTTTGATGAGTCACTGCAATGCAAACAAAGATGGCAGAAATACTGTACTGTATGCTGATGAAATGCTTAGTGGTGCCACGGCAACTGAGACAGGTTTTAAATTTATAGTGCAGTTTTGCATATGAATTACGCTGTAAACTGCCTCCCCTGCCATCTAGTACATCCAGAGTGTCAAAGCATTTAAACTATTCCAAACAGTCTGCAGAGCTGGCACTGCTGCTGGTTAACTCCTGCGGCCGGAGGAAGGCACAGGGTGGGGGCTGTGAGCATCCCCCTGCATCCCCTGTATCCCCTCCCCGCATCCCCTCATCATCCCCCTGCATCCCACAGCAGGGGCTCCCCAAAACCACCCTGCCCAAAAGGACAGCTTTGGGAATGCCCAAATCTGCCCCAAATAAAGGTGCTTCTTGGGCAGCCACAGTCCTGATTCCTGCCTCCCCCCCCCCCCTCCAGTCGTCCCTCACCCCCCCCAATACAAGAAAGCCTTTCAAATGCAGGAAAAATGTTTACCCCTTGGGGAAAGCTTCTTTCAGTCTGTGGCTGAATCCACTAAAAGCAAATCCATTTGCTTAAGTAATGAAATCCCAGTCACATTGTCTCCTGGATTCAGATTTTAAATTACCTTCGCATTTATTGAGCATGTTTGGTGCTTTTTTCTGGGAAAGAGGGTGGGGCCTCCCTTTGCTTACTTCTCTCTTGCCCAGAGCCTTTTGATTCCTGCTACTGGTCTCAGATTTGTTTCAATTGCTCTGCTCAGGTGGTTAAAACGCAGGAGATTAGAGGTGAAGCATCCTCAGAGGAGGGTAACTGCAGGGATGCTCTGGTGCGACCCTTCCCTGCTGATCCCTGCTGCCGCCTCCGCATCCACCACCCAAATAGATGTTTGGTGCATTAAGTTCAACCCCACAGCAGCAAACTGCTGCTGCTGCCGAGCGCTTGGGGCTGGCTGCCTCCCCCTGCTCCTCCAGCAAATGGCACTAACATCTGCTCTGCATCCCACAGCACCTGCAGCCTCCCAAGAGGATCTTCAGGACCTTCACGTGTCGGGAGCGCCCAAAGGGTTCATCCAAACCCTGGGTCAGGTCAATGGGAGCTCTGTCTCGTGTGGAGGAGGAGAAGGACCAAGGTGACATCCTGCAAGGAGGTCAGAGGTGACACAATGACAGCCAAGCCTGAGAGCCCAAGACCTGTTCCAGCCATGACACTGCCCACCTGCACTGGAGAAGGAAAGGAGCCTGCCCTGGCCAGCACGGATCCACCCTGTATCTGTGAAAATCACTTTAAGGAAACAGAACTTCACCACTCAGGCACCTGAGCATCCCTGGTGATGGCACATCATGGGTGCAGAAGGATCTTCTCTTTTCTTCCAGCAAGAGCTCCCTTAAAGCTGGAAGAGAGACCAGGGAGGCACTGGACTGGACCCCCCTGGAGCCTCTCATAACCCCTGCCTCGGAGAAACCTGGCAGGGCAGGACTAGCCAAGGACAGCTTGGTAGCACAGACAAACGGCTTAAAATAGATATCAATTATTCATGTTGCTTCGAATTTGCTCTGTAAACAAGCCAGGCATGCCAGGAGGAACCCGTGTCTCTCTAAACCCACCAAAATCATGCTGCTTCAGGGTATGTTTAAGCCAGTGAGAAGCACCACAGTGCCCCAGCCTAGCAAATCACTGCCTAGATTTTATGTAAAACCTCCTATGAGACACTGGAGTTTGAACCAAGAGGCTCCACAAAACTGAGTCCTCCTGAGGTGCCCCTTCCCCTGCACTGCAGCCTGGCCTGACCATCCTGAAGGGATCCCACCTCCAAAATCCCATCACTCCAGCTCCTGGTGGTCTCAGCTCTGATTCCAGCAGGCTTTGTAGCTGCTGGTCACAAAGCAGCCAAGCAATGGTCTAAACCTCCAGTTTTCCCAGAGAAAAAAGGCCCTGAAATGTGCCCAAGGGAAATGGTGAAAAGCTGTGTTTGGTCTAGAAAGAGCACTGAGGAACGTGAGCAAAGCCAATACCAGCAAGCTGAAAAGCCCAAACCACTTCAATATGGTGTTGGCCAGGACCTCTGCGTTATTTCCTCCTCCCTTCTCTACCTCTGCCTCTGTAGGACCAGAATATACAAAAAACCCAATCTAAAACCCCAACAAATCAATGCCCCCCCCCAAAAAAATACAAGAAATAAAAGCAGACCTGAAAGCCAAGCAGAACCTGCTCACCCCCAGACCTCCCACCCCCCGAACCCAACAGCAGCAAAACATTCCTGTGACCAGATAGCGAATGCAATAATGCCTGATAATGTCTCATTTAAAATCTCCTCTATTAAATAGGATTTATTTCTTTTTAATAGAGCACCGAGCGGCTTTTGAATGGTTTGGAATGGCTTCAGTCCATCTGACACGGGGAGAGCTGTGCTGCAGGCAAATGACCTTAGCCATTACAGATGTAAACTGTATTTTACAGTCTCATCTCCCAAGCTGAGCTGTGCCCTGGGGTGCAGGAGCACCATCACAACCCTAAAAAGTCCCTTTTGGGCTGCCATGTCCTCCAGGTGACAATCATCCCATGGACCTCCTATTAAATGGGAAAAATTGGGACAAAACAGGATTAAAACCAGCCAAGCCCCCCTCCCACCCCTAGTATTGAAGGTACCTGACCCTTCAAGCAAGACATCATTGTTTTCCGATTGCAGCCTCTTTCCCTATCCCTTGGATAGGGCAGGACAACCTATACATGTCTGCATGGTTTTTGTAAAGTCATAGCCTCTGTCACAGGAGGTTCATCAAAAATGCAGCCGTTATTTGAGACAACTTCCATGAGAGTTGGAGAATTCCCAGTTTCTGCATTCACACGCTCTGGGAAGGGGAGGGGAAAAAAAAAAGCAGGTTTGCTCTTTCCTAAACTATTTTCCTGCCCCCAGGTCGGGGGCAAGGCGACAACAGAGGAAAAAGCATCGACCTAGAGTAAGATGCTGGCATCAGAGCCACCCCCCAGGAGTGATCACAAATAATCAGATAATGGATTTAAATGGGCTTTTCTCTTAGCCAGTGTACAAAGAGACTTCACACACACACACACACACCTGAAAACACCCCCAAACCCAAGGTCCCTCCAGGAAGGTGCGCTGGGCAGGGACAAAGGCAGCAGGACCCTCCAGGGATGGGAGACAAAAGGGGCCGAGGGCTTTCACCCCCACCCAGCCAAACCCCTCAAAAGAAAAGAGCTGAAAAGTCCTGCCCTTGAAGGCCCCAAAGGGTCAAAGGAAACTTCCCTTTCTTCTGTAAATGAGGAGAGAGGGAGAAAATCCCCCCCCCCCCCCTTGGCTTTGAGGCTGCCAGGGGGATGTCACCCACCCAGGGGCTCCCCAGAGCCACCCGCTGTCCCCAGACCCACACCACGCACCCAGCTTTTCGGGGGTGCCCCCCCCCCTTTTTGTAATGAGAAGGAAACACACTTTTTACATAAGCCCCAATTAAACTAGGCACGAGCTAACTGCAAAACTCGGAGGCAAAGTACCATTCCCCAAGCATGGAGCTGCTGCAACGCTGTCAGCGAGAGAAAGAGTTAAATAAAGTCAAATAAAACACATTTCAGGTCTGCTTTGGGCATATTCCATCACCATCACCACCCCTTCCATGCAGATCACTGTATCAGGCAACAGAGGAGCAAAGCAGACAAGTCCATACATCCCCCCCCACCACCCCAAAACCAAGCCTCCCCTTTGCCCCCGCTGGGGTTTGGGGGGGAAGAAAACGCAGGAGGGGATGGGAGAGGGGCTGGGGAATGACTGCGAAACGCCGGGAACGCCGGCACTGCTGAATGCCCGTCTTTGGCAGGGGAAAGCCAACAAGGTTAAGTTTGGGAAGCGAATGCCAGCACCAGCGAGACTCCTCTCCCCTTCTGCAGCATTTGCCCCTGCAGCTCCCAGGTATTCATGTCTGAAATGCTGCAAGTGGCAAGCAGCGCGACCCGTCCCTATTTTTAGTGTAGCAGCCAGGGGCAATGGGTGAGAGAAGGCGATTTCTGCCCTATTAAAGAGAGCAGGAACTGGATCTGCAAATATTAACCGAGTAGCCCACAAGCACCGCGCACGCAGCACACATGCGGCACGGGGCTCCGCTTGCTTCCGAACCCTGAAAGTTCGCACAGAAAGTACAGCCCCGCAGGCACGGGCAGGGAATGAAGCGGGGGGGGAGATGGAAAAGTGAACGAAATGAACGGTGATGCTGCAGCCCCGCGGGATGCGGTGATGGGGTCATCCCCAGGGAGCCCGGCACTGGTGGCACTGGTCCCCCAGGCTCCGTGCTGCTGCAAGGTGAGTCACCGGCCGGCTGGCCACTCCAGCGCCGCTCGAGGTCACCCCCCCGGCAGGCTGCTGCCTCCGAACAGTGCCGTCAGGCAGCCAGGGCGAAGCGTGTTATTGCCATTATTATTTAATTAAGTTTGGGGTTTCTTTCCCTCCCTTCTCTATCGCTGGTTTTCAGAGCTCTCAAAGCAAGGAAAGCAAAAATAGAAAATGCAACATTTTCATTTCTTTTCCACATCGCTGTAAGGATAAAAGGGAAGGGAGAGACATGGAGAAAAGAAGGGAAAATACAGTTACCCTGCAGGATTTCATTGCTTGCTATGTAATAAAAACTCAAGACCCCGAGTAAGTTACAGCCACCAGAAAGCACAGAGCACCCCATCACCTTCCGCAACGCCTGCACTGCCTGCATCCCATCCAAACGCTAATCCACATCCGTAACACATCAAAAAGACAAGTGCCATGCTGAATGGTATTCTCCTCACTCCCCGTACACAACGGCAGAGCTAGCAATATATATATAACATGCATGACTCAGTTCTACCACTACGGAAGAGAAAGCCTTAAAATAAAGTAAATATCTTAAAAGGTCAATTAAAAAAGCTTACAAAACATCAGACGCTGCTTCTTGCTAGAGCTCATTACCTAGTATGGTGGAGCTGCCTGTGTGTTTTTTTCTTGTGCAAGTTAGTCTGTGAGTCAGCATTAACACACATGAGAACATCAGGAATACTGCCTAGTTCTGATGCAATGGAGGGTGGAAAAAAAAAAAGAAGAAGAAGAAATCGCGCTCCGTTTGGACAGGAGCCTGTAATTCAATTGCCTTTACTTTTCAATTACTGCATAGCCTACCCTGACCAGCCTGCAGAGGGGAAGGAAACTTTGCTTACATCTCTGTCTTCAAATTAATGACTTTTACTTTTGGCTGCAGCTTATTCTCCCTGCTTTAAGGCAAAAGGAGGTATGACAGAATTAACCCTTCCCGAGCCCCAGGATCGCCGTGTTTCCATTGGGATTTCAGCACTGGGAAACAATATTGCCCAAAAGTCCTGGCGAAGGAAGAGATTTATTCATTAAACTTTTAATACTCGATAAAGTAAAGCTCCAGTTGCATCGGAGCCTGATCCTTAATGGAAGTATAAGCCTGCAGAAAAGGCAAGTTAGAGACTGCAGACATTTAACTCTGTGCTTCTAGGTCCAGAGAAGCGAGGAACAGATTGCATGGAATGCTTCTCAAAACTGAGGTTTCCGATCATGCACCAAAACCCCCAGAGAAACCTGAAATCAGTGATGTGAGGGGGTCACCCCAGCCTGACGCCCACTTTCCCCAGCAGAACGGGGGCAAATCAGGAGACCTGCATTTTCCACACATTGCATTCATTGCTTGCACTTCAGCAAACAAGTCTCTGTCCCCCTCCCAATTTCCTGAAAGGAAAACTCCCTCCGGACCCATCTCCTGCTCCCCGATCCCAGCATTGAGCCTGGAAGGTACCAGAGACTCAACACCGACTTCCCATTTGATTTCTCTGCTCTTACAACAAAAACATTCACTGGGTGAAACAAATTTTGCCCAAAGCTTCCAAGTGCGATGGCCTAAACCACCCCCAGACAACGCTGCAGCCCAGAATATTGCATTATATAACTATTATAAGGTAGATTAGATATGGTCAATATAGATAGATAGATAGATATAGATATATATACCCTGCCCATGGCAGGGGGGTTGGAACTTGATGATCTTCACATCCTTTCCAACCCTAACTATTCTATGATTCTATAGGGTCAAGTACATCCCTCAGAGCCAACGCTGACATCTTACAAGTCGTGTGCTGCTGTG